GTTTCCAAGGAGCGCCTGGTGGATTCAAACTGCCGACCTTTTGGTTAGCAGACGCAGGTCTTAACCACTGCACCACCACGGTTTCCAATTTTAGATAAAGTGATCAGGAAAGGCTTCTTGGGGAAGGTGACATCTGATGATAGCTCTGAATGATTGATGAGGAGTCAGCCAAGCAAAGATCTAGAGTGAACATTTTCCAAAGATGAGGAATGGCGAATGCAAAGACCTCCTGGGGCAGGAATGAGCTTGTCATCTTCGAAGAATAGAGAGAAGACCCGTGTGGCTGGAACAGAGCTGGCAAAGGGGAGAGCACTGCCACAGTTCTACTCTGACATCCATGGGGTTGCCATGAGTCAGAATTGACTAGATGGCAACTGCTTTTTCTGAAATTATTATTATTATTAGATGTTAACGGTGCTTGAGGTCCCTAGGTGGCACAAATGGTTTGTGCTCAACTACTAACCTAGAGGTTGGGGATTTGAACCTACCCAGCAGTACTGCCTGGCGATCTGCTTCCATTAAGATTACAGCCAAGAAAACACTACAGTTCCACTGTATAATACCTGGAGTCAACATGAGTCAAAATCGACTCAATGGCAACCAACAACAACAACAATGGTGCTGGAGGGCTATCAAGGCAGCAATCAGAAAAGACTTGAAGGAGGAAGGGAGACCAGGGATGGGCTTGGAGGCTGGCTGCATTGGAGAGGGAGAGACAGACAAGGAGAATAGCGGAGGAAAAGGCGGGGAAGTGGAGGGAGGAAACTACCCAGACCCAGGTCCCAGGGAGGCCATCCTCCCTTCCCAGGACAGGGAGTCCCCAGGCCATGAACTGTGCTATCCTTGCCCCGGCAGACAGAGTATTTCGGCACCATTGGCATCGGAACTCCTGCCCAGGACTTCACTGTCATCTTTGATACCGGCTCCTCCAACCTGTGGGTGCCCTCGATCTACTGCTCCAGCGCTGCCTGCAGTGAGTGTCCAGCCCTGCCCAACCCTGCCCTGGGGACCCCTGAACACTCACGTCTTCAAATAGGTTCCGATTTCAAGCCTGTGAAGTCACTCAGATATTCACGCGATGGGCACTTACTGAGCCCCTACTGTGTGCTGGGGACTGGGCTTAGGTGCTCTGAGGGATAAAGGGTGAATGGGACCTGGTCCCTGCCCTCAGGTTTATAATCTGAAGGCAGAGGGAAGGAAGCTCTCCAAATAACCATAGCTCCAAGAAGAAAGGGCATGGGGCAGAAAGCGAGATGAGGCTAATGCACTATAGGAGAGCCAGTGGGGTAAGTCTAGGGTAAGAACTTGCAAACTAGAGATGGGTGATGGTATCAATTGAAAAAGAAATCATTGATTGGAAAATCAAAATTTTTTGGTAACTGCAAGTCCTGGACAGTGTTTTAGTTCTTTCCTCTTCCAGCTTGTTATCCCAAGTTCTGATTAAGAGGAGTGCCTACGGAATCTGCCCCCTTCATAACTGGAACTTGGGCTGTACCCAGTGGGTCTGAAGGCTCATCACCATGGGCAGCCATGGGCCTGTTCCACTCCGTGTTTACCTGGGGGGTCTTTGGGAGGACCATGGGGTGACTGGGGACCTTCCATCAGTGAGATGGTCCCAACTGGTCCAACAAGACAGGAACGGAACCTGGGGACTCTTGGACCTCAAAGGTGTAGGGGAAAGCTCACCTTTCCCTTCCAAAGCCCCACCAAGAGCCAAGGCGCCCCATCCCAGGAAGACTTCTTAGGCCATGACCCTCACTTGGCTCCTGGAGGTTGACCATGTCACTGCTCTCCTTGCAGCCAACCACAACCGCTTCAACCCTGATAAGTCTTCCACCTATGAGGCCACCAGCGAGACGGTCTCCATCACCTATGGCACCGGCAGCATGACAGGCATCCTCGGCTACGACACCGTCCAGGTGAGCACCTGCTGGCTCACCATCTATCCTGACCAGCCCTGGGGCCAGCCTCAGGAACATTGAGGACCATAGTATGCCCCCCTCAAATATGGTTCATTTAAGCAGTACAGGTTCCAGTGATCACAAAAGTAGCCTGGTTAGGGGTGGGGAGAGAGTAAAAGAGATGTCACAGACATTTTGAAGTTGAGTGGTGGTGGGTAAGAGGATAGGGTGCATGCAGCCATGAGCCAACCTCAGCCTCACCCAAGCTACATGCTATGCGAGTGGGTGGGGGGAAGTAGGCGAAGGCTCAATTCTCTTTTAGCACCTCCTCCTCTTTCTCCTCCCCTCACCCACAGCCCCCTCGAGTCACAAAAGCTGCACAAGGTGGCTTCCCCCATTGCCCGAGTACGTCTGGGGTAGAGGACCCAGATTTGCCCAGGGTCTGCTTTGCATCTGTTCATCAGAAACACAAACACTGGTGACCATCTGTTCTGCAGAGAAATCTCACACCCAGTCATGGACTGTGGCCATCTGGAGACCAGCTGCAATGGCTATCTCCAGCAGAACAACAAGCATTCCAAGGGACAATCCCTCGCCCTCCTCCCAGCCCCAAGTCGAAAGAAGGAACCTTCTAGCCAGGCTTGCCAGGAAGCCAAGTTCACCACGAAATGAACTGGGGATGCTCTGGGCCCATGGCTGGCACTCAGCAGTGCTCCATGCACACAAACTGACTGTGAACACCTTGGTTCCCCTACACAGGTTGGAGGCATTGAAGACACCAACCAGATCTTTGGCCTGAGCGAGACGGAACCCAGCTCCTTCCTGTATTACAGCCCCTTTGACGGCATTCTGGGTCTGGCCTACCCCAGCATTTCTGCCTCTGGGGCCACACCTGTCTTTGACAACATATGGGACCAGGGCCTAATTTCTCAGGACCTCTTCTCCGTCTACCTGAGCTCGTAAGTTGGGTAGGGGTGGCCTCCTGAGAGGTCATGATCACCTGGTCCAGCAGGGAGTAGTCCAAGGCTAAGCAGGGTGGAGAGGGTCTTGGAAACAAGGGATTTGAAAGGTCAGTGTCTACAGCTGCAGAAGTAATGCTGCCAAATCTCCCTCTGATGAACTTTCTTCATTATGTCTTATTTTACCAGCCTGAGTTTTTGTCACCTTGACTTACCACTCACACGCCATTAGCCATTTGCTCTCTAGCACCAATTCCCTCATCATTGACCTCCCTCAAAAACAAAAAAAACCCAGTTGCTGTTGAGTCAACTCCGACTCATGGCAACCCCATGTGTGTCAGAGTAGAACTGGGCTCCATATACTTTTCAATGACTGACTTTTTTGGAAGTAGATCACTAAGCCTTTCTTCCAAGGCACCTCTGGGTGGACTCAAACCTCCAACTTTTCCATCAGCAGTCAAGTGTGTTAACTATTTGCATCACCCAGGGACTCCCATCATTGACCTCCCAAAGAGGCCATTTAAAGTAAATCCACTTAACATAGGGGCCAAAATTTCATAGCACAAAGTAAAAAGAAGAT